ATGTTTCTTTCAGACCTTTGTATTTAGTATATTCTTAGTGGTTCGTGAGTGATGTGACACCAAATCTTGGGTAGAGGCTATTATTAACTGTTCCGCATTTTGATTCAGATTTATAAATCAGACTTCCACTATTATTCTTAGTAAATTTCATGTTCTATATTGATGCTATAAATTGTTAAAATAATTGTTTAGTGATGAAAAGGTAAATAAGTTGGCTTGCCTAGCTACCACGAGAAGGCGCCCTCACGATCCCGATGGTGGAAAATCCGGGTCGTGACATGAAGATACTTGGATACAGCCAAAGAAACAACAAAGCTTCAGTAAAGAGTAGTGAGACCAGCAGTAGTTAACAGCAGTAGCACCAAGTTTAATCCATATTCGACCCAGAAAATCAGTAAAATATTAAGAGTTTTGTTTTTAAACCAAAGAGAATTGAAATCAGCTACTTAGTGTAGTAGTAGTCGAGCCTTTTTCAGTGTTTTAGGGTTCTGAAAATCTATATCAGTGTGTATCCAGAATAAGTGAAGGAAGGGTACAACTTATAGGCCTAAAAATGCCATGTGCTGCTGAAAACAGAATGGGAATTATTCCCTCACAAGGCATCTTTTCTAATAGAATTGGGACAGCTGGCAGCTTTTGATCGGCTCCAGCATTTGTGCTGGCCAAAATTGGGCCAGCTGCCCCAGATTCTAGAAGCGTCTCTTCTAAAAATCTGATTTCCATTTCACAAACTACCCTCCTAAGTTTTCATCTATTCAATTAACCCCTAGAGGTGTTTAACAATTACAAACTAAAGCAAACAACACAAAACCCTGAATTAAAAGTAAGGAAGATCAAACGGAACAATATTCTAATTCAATTAAGCTTTTAACTAAACCTAAATTCTTTTATTAAGAACGTGGAATCAGAAATAAGACAAAAACAACAGAAATATTTAAGCCTAACACTAACATGAGTCCAGAGGGAAAATCATTAAAACCTATTAAAGTATTAATAGATTATTGAGAGGGAAAATTAACAAACATCTAACTAAGTATTGATCATAAGCACTGCAATTAGCCCAACTAATTTATGCAAACTAAACGCAGAAAACATGTATGAAAACTAAAATCAACTAGGAATCAAACAAAATACCATTAATTATCCTAGCCAAATCAACTTAAACTTTCTGACCCTCATTAGCTAACCATGAAATCCAAATAAATCTAACCTAACAAATGGCGCTTACTTAAAAGAAACAGAGATGAATGGAAACTCCGAATCAACACTAACAAACAAAAGAGTAATACAAGACGAAGGATAAGAGCACAAAGAGAAGGAAAACTTACTGAAAAATAGAGGAGAAGCCAACGGACTTGGGGTTTAACTTTGATATTGCTTAAAATCGACCCTAAATGGTTATTCTTGTCAAGAAAAACCATTCGCGGTGAATCTTAACACTATCAATTTGGAAAAAATGAAGGGAGACAGACATGCACGACCTGGGGCTTTTAGAACTCTGAGATCCGGAACTCACCGATTTTTAAGGGTTTTTTGATTGGGATACTTGGTGATTAGTGGTGAGGAAAAGACAAGGGTTGTAGTGTGTGAATTCAGGGTGATTTGAGTGAGTTAGGGTTTTTAGGGTTGGTGTTCAGATCTAAAATTGGAGGAGCTTGGTGGGGATTTAGAGGGAACCGTTTAGGGATTTAGGAAAAGGAGAGGACGGGGATTATGGGGCATTAATTTGGTGGGGTTTGGGGTGCCGCCGCCGTAGGGCGATTTCCGGTGAGGGAGCACGATGGAGCCGGCGAGGGGTTTGGGGCGGCTAAGGTTCGGTTTAGAGACAAGGATAAGGGTGAAATGAGAGGTGTTTTGAGGTTAGGGGGGACATTCGGAGATGGAGTGATCAGTTCGGAGCCGTTGGATCATAATGATCCAACGATTGTGATATAGGAGCACAAAAATGGGGTCGTTTGGTGTTTAAACGGGGTGGACCGGGTAAGATCAATTTTGGGCCTTGACCTGGGTAAGGTTTGAGAACGGATCTTGGCATTAAAATGGCCCAATTTCAAACAAATCCCATCTTTTCAATTAACCTTTTATTTTCTTTTTCTTTTCTTTTTCTATAATTAAAAATCCTAAATTAATTCCTAAAATAATCTAAATTGCAAAATTAAGCTAATGATCTAATTATAAATTTTATAACAATTACTTGATCTTAAACTTAAAGGGAAAAACTATTGATCTAGAATCAAAAGCTAAAAATGTAAAAGTAATCCAATTTTTTGTGATTTTCATTTTTAATAAAACAACTAATTTACTAACTAGTCCTAAAAATATGAAAACAAAATCTCAATGCAATGCATGATATTTTTTGTATTTTTTTCATGATAAAAGTAAATATGCACAGAAATGCAAACAATTGACACAAATTCCTACAAAAAACCCTATAAAATTGCAAACAGTTGGAAAAAATATATTTCTTTAATTTGTAGGAGTATTCCTCATAGGGCAAAAATCACGTGCTCACACCTGAGTTAGTGTGTTGATGGCTGATGATGGAAGAAGAAGAAGATGAAGCCCTAATTTTTCTGCTGAGGAATGGTCGATGCTCGTCGCTGAAGGAGAAGATGTGAAACCCAAGCCCTAATTTTGTGTTTTAATCTAAATCGCTGCCTTTTCTTCCATTTTTTTCAAATAGCGTCGACTCGCGGCGCCTCTCGCTACACGTGCAGAGGCGCTCGCCTTTTCTGATTCGCAACGCAATAGACCAAAAAAATGCAGCTGCCTCGCCTCGTGTCGCCACATGCTATTAGCGACGTAGCGCTCGCTATTTACAACACTGGAGTACAATAAAGGATACATACACATCTAACTATCGAAAATAAGCCAATTATACCTCTTCTTTAGTTACATAACTACAATATTTATTAGGATACAACAACTACTACATAATACTAATAGTTCTAAATTAAACTACACCTTTAAACAACAAGATATGACTTTCTTATTTGAGTAAATGGTGTTACTGTTTTGATTGTGCCCATAGTACCAAAATTCTAAAACAATGTGCAAAATGGTGTTAAATGTTTTGGATGCCAACATTGCTCCATCGTTAAATTTTTTTTTCAAGATTCGGAATCAGTTTTCGTTTATTACTTTTTTTGGAGGGAGCAAAATTTACTAATTGACACCAGATACACCCCTTACCTTTAATATGCACACAATTTAAGTCCTCTTGATATATTACTACTAAGATTTTGTTGCCTTTTGTTTTAACAAGGTCAATTCCATAAACAACTCCTATAGTTGTCAAGATTTTTCATTTCGATACCTCAATGGAGGTTGTGACCTATTAGACACTAGAACAACCATTAGCAATCTAGCAATCAATTCTGTCCGTTTGGTGCACTTCACTCCTGCAGCTCAGCCACTGAAGACAGAGTATAAGAAAGAGATCATTCAAATTGATGTAAGCTTTGGAAATGTAAGTTCTCTTTTTCTTTGGTTATGTTAAAGAGTATTTCAGTTGATGTAATGATTTTTTCTTTGGTTATGTTAAAGAGTATTTTCACCTTGATGTAATGATAATTGATGTCCAACAATCAAGTTTCCTCTCGTTCGTTTTCTTCTTTCAAAATTTCAGATCTCTTAAATTAGGTTTACATTGAGTGCATCAGTATGCCTCAGAATTTGGTAATATCGTGCATATTTAACAAATAATATACTACTATTTAGTAATATCATTATACCTTTGATTTAGGGTTGTACTGAATAAATAATGTACTACTTTTAGTACACCAGTACATCCAAGAAAACAACAGAAGAGAAATGGATATGGAACAAGTTAACCAAAGGAAATGGAAACCGATATAAGTTTCTAAGTCCGGTTCCTTTTGCTGGTGACCTGATCTTACTTGCTGAAGCAACCAAAGAAAATCGTAACAACTTACTAAACTCTGCTCTCTATCGGGACAAAGTACAAACTTTGACTAGTCCAGAATTGTCCTCTCAAACAATACCAAAATGTCAATTAAGTGACAGATCTCCAAATGTATGACTATGAAATTTACTCAAAACCTTGGTAAATACTTGCGCTTCCCTATGATAAGAGATAGAATCACTAGAAAGAACCAGGGGGAGCTTGATTTGTACAAATCAAAAACGGGGAATCCAGGAAAATAGGGCATAGAGGGGGTGATCAGAGACACAAGGGGGAACTGGATTGCAGGATTTTGTCAGCACATTCCACATGCTATAAATATATACAATGAACTTCTTGCACTTATAACAGGAATCAGAATTGCCCTAGAACGAAGCATAATGCCTTAAGTTATAGAAACTAACACGTAAGAGTATGTGTTTAAGACCTAAAATAAATATAAAAAAAATAAACCCTCTCAGATATTTAAGTTTATTAAATGAGACGTTTACACTATTCAACAATATACACGATGCGCTTTGTACTCCAAATAGAAAAGCTTTGAGCAGCCATTTTGGTGAGCAGTGCTTGATGCTACTACTGCTTTCCACTATAAAAAATAGTCAAAATTGTGACGGAAATTTTGTGACAGACAAGCTGTTCACAAAATTGTGACGGAATTTTATCGAATTTGTGATGGATCATCCTTACATAGCCTAAAATTTGCTGAAAAAATATAATATTTTACAAAAATTATATTTGTGACGGATTTGTAACGAAGTTGTGACGGAACGTAGAGATGGCAAAAATAAATTGCCACGAAATTATGGCGGCAAAATAATGTGACGAAATTCCGTCACAAAATTGTCACAATATTATTTAAAATAAATAACTAATACAAATTATTTTTTTGTGACGGCCGAATGCATCACAAATTTGTGACATACATCTAAATCCGTCACAAAATTAAAAAAGCTTAAAATAGGTAATAGTTTTGACCCATGTGTAGTTTTAGAAAATTTTGGACTACTTTTTCGTTTTCCCGCCCGTATTTCCCCCCTTACATCAAATAATAGTCCAAAACCCTTATTTTCTTTTCCCCCAAATTCACAGAGGTCTCTTTTCCCCTTCACCTTCAACCATCGATTCTTCAATACCTTGTCCATCACCATCCTCAACAAGCTTCACTACAAGCTATTTGACTCCCTCATTCTTTTCAGGTTTCCTTCTTTATCATTCTCTTTGTTCATAAATCTAGTAATTTTTTATCCTTTTTTATTTCAATCTGTTTCAGCTTTGATTTGCTCCATTCCCAGTTAGGCTTTGCTCGAAAAAGCAGTTTGTTGAAGTGAACAGCATCATCCCTTCTTAGTTTTTCTCTGCCCTTTCTATTGGATCCTTCAACTAAAGCTCAAAAATCTCAAGGTAAACTAAAAAACTATTGCATACCATGCATTTAATTATTTATTTATTTTATTCAATTTTATTTTATCCCAACTCTAAATATTTGAAATTTATAGAAACTTTTTAGTGGGTCTTCATCAAAAGTGCCAGAATAGATAAATTGTGAAGTGAAAAACCTACATGTGTTAGTTTCTTAACTAGTAAAATAAAAGAAAAATATTAAGTCTTTACTGTTTTTAAGCTTGGGTTTTAAGATATGGCAGATTTTTTATTTGTAATTTTTGGTGTATATATACAAAGAAAGAACTGTATTGCAAGTATTCAAATATCTACAAAAGCATAAAGATAAGGGCTTTAATTGTGGGTAACTGAAGAAGCTTTAGCAGTTTCTTAAAACTTTATACTCTTAGTAGTATTTCACATAGCAAAGCAAATAAAAATTATTGTCTTTCATTGCAACATCTATCTTAACTCTCTTTGCTTGTACGCGTAAATATTTATTTGAATTTATATTTTAAGTTTTGTGCTCGATTCTACAGTCTTATGTAAGCTCTTATGGTTTAATTATCATCATGTAAGTTATAACATATGTTTTATTATTGTCTTGTCAGAGTGTAGAATATGAATTCTAATCGTGAGTGGATGTATGCTAGATTGGAAAATGGATTCATTAATCCTAGATTTATTGCTGGGGTTGAGGAGTTTGTTGCATTTGCTAAAAGTCATCCAGAATGCATGGATGGCGAAAAGCTAAGATGTCCTTGTAATCATCATAAATGCCGGAATAGAAATATCTTAGATGAAATTACTGTTATGGTACATCTTGGAAGACACGATTTTGTACCGAATTATTATTGTTGGTATCACCATGGTGAAAATTATATTCCATATCCAGGAGTATGTAATGTTAATCAAGAAGAAATAGTTGGTGAAACTGTACAACAAGAAACTCATAATCCCCAATCTCATAACTCATTTCAATCTATGGTTTTTGATGTTGCTAGGCCATCTTATGATCGGAACTTAGAAGAGGACCCGAATCCAACAACTCAACATCTTTATAATATGCTCAAAGCATCAGAACAGGAAGTATGGGTGGGAAACCCACACGGACATTCGCAGTTGTCTGCCGTTGCTAGACTGTTGAATTTAAAGGCAGAACATCATTCTTCTGAAAGGTGTTATGATGACTTATGTCAATTTTTATCAGAATTGTTGCCGACTGATAAAAAAAAGCTAATGCGAGGCTTGGGCTTGCCAGTAGAAAAGATTGATTGTTGCAACAATGGTTGTATGATTTAATGGCGTGAAGATAATGAACTTGATAGTTGCAAGTTTTGTAGCCATCCTCGGTTTAAGAGATCAAAACTTAGACGTACCGAGCAAAAAACTAATATTTCCTATAAGAAGATGTATTATTTTCCTTTAACTCCACGTCTTCAAAGGTTGTATGCATCTAATTCTACGGCTAAACATATGAGATGGCATTTTGAGCATGAAAAAGATGGTGTAATGCGTCATTGCTCAGACTCTACATTTTGATGTGACATATCCACATTTTGCATTTGAAGTAAGAAATGTCAGATTGGGTTTGTGCACGGATGGGTTTAACCCGTTTGGTCAATCAGGTACACCATATAATTTGCCATCGGGAATGTGTATGAAAGATGAATACATGTTTTTATCAGTGACTAGTCTCAGTGTGTATCTTTTCTCAATGAGTTTAAACTTTTTTAAAAATTGAATAAAATGTTATATTAAAATTTGACGAATAAGAAACTATTTATAAAAGTTAAATTTTACTCAAAATTAAAATTTTAAAATATTAGGAATTTGTGCATAGTTCAAATATAGAGAAATTTAAGACGCATATTGGGCGTGTACCTCATATCAGTAAGGATAATTTTAACGCTCTATATAATCAATCATACAATAAACATGCATAAGATATAATCAGGATGAAGTAACACTGATTTCTCATAAATATTTTATAAAACTACTATTATTTAATTTATATGACTTAATACTAAAATTGAAATGATCGATTATATATATATATATTCTTTAAATATTAGTCAAATAACACAAATTTAAAGTTTGAATCTTTTGGTAGTCTAAAACTTTGGAAATAAAAGGGTTTGGTTCGATAGCTCCTAGAGAAAAAATGAATAAATAATAATATAATGCTAAAAGTAATAAATTGATTGAGTATTCTACAGTAGATAACTTAACAATTTGAATACTGTCTATCACTTAATATAGAAATGTATTATGTATAGCTCATATTGTATAGTTTTAAAATAACATGGAGAGAATTATAATTATGTTATTTTGTTCATAACTCTTGTGAAGATATGCAATACCATAATATTTTCTTATAACCTAAANGATTAGAATGGCTAAAAATTTCTATATTCCTTATTATTTCAATCTTCTATTTTTGATATTTTTTTCGTTTTTTCTTACTTCTAGTATAGTCATTGGATTTTAAAGTCTAAATATTCGGAATTCCTACATTATTCTAATAAGGAAAGATTTTAATAATCAAATTTAGTTGATTTCGAAGTCCAAAAATATAGGAAAATAGTTAAATGACTATTTTGTCTAGTGTGAAATTAATTTTTTAAATGGTAAAAAAGGCGAACGACATTTCGCTAAGGACCTTCGTGCTTTTAATATAGTATAGATTATACCTGGTCCAAAAAATCCTAAACAGAAAATTGATATCTTCTTACAACCTCTCATTGATGAGTTGAACTGTTTTGGACTCAAGAAAGTCACATAACTTGGTTCTGAAGTGATAAATGCTAGAATTTCAAAGAATCCTTTATGTTGTTGGAAGAAAAAAAGTATATCTTGGGACTTGCCTTATTGGAAAACAAATCTCATTAGGTATAACCTTGATGTAATGCACATAGAGAAGACTGTGTTTGATAATATTTTTAACACCGTGATGAATGTCAAAGGAAAAACAAAAGATAACGCCAAATCTAGAGCAGATGTGAAAGAATTATGCCATCGTCCAGAGTTACATCAAGATAAATGTACCAAAAAGTATCCGAAAGCTTGTTATATGTTAGAGAATAATGCAAAAGAAGTGCTTTTTAAGTGGTTACAAGAGTTGAGATTTCCTGATGGCTATGTGTCTAACATGGGTAATAGATGTGTCATGTGTGCAACCTTAAAATGTTTGGTATGAAGAGTCATGATTGTCATGTATTTATGCAACGGCTAATACCCATTGCATTTCGAGAACTACTTCCAGCGAAAGTATGGCAACCATTGACAGAATTGAGTCTTTTCTTCAAAAATCTCACATCTACTACAATAAAAGAGGAAGACATGAGACAATTAGAAAAAAATGTTCCCGATACTATGTGTAAGGTTGAGCGTGGTTTGCCTCCAAGCTTCTTTGACTCTATGGAACATCTTGCTGTTCATTTAGCTTATGAAGCGCGTTTAGCGGGTCCAGTGCCAGGCCGTTGGATGTATCCCTACGAGAGGTAACTAATATTAATTTTAGGATGTAAGATATAAAAATTTATGACTAATTACATATTGATATATTTTATTTCTTTTAGGTATCTTCATAAGCTGAAGAAATGTCAAAAATAAATCTGAAGTAGAAGGCTCAATATGCAATGCATATTTGGTTGAAGAAGCTTCATCATTTTGTGCGCATTACTTCAAGTCACATGTTTCGACAAGGCATAGGAAAGTGCCACGAAATTCGGATCATTGTGGTGTTGGAGCAAATGATCATCCAGGAATGCTTTCTATTTTCAAACATGTTGGCCGATCTTTTGGTCGAAAGAAATTCAGGCGGTTAGATGATAAAGAATATCATGCAGCTCGTACATATATTCTGTTGAATTGTGATGAAGTGAAACCATACTTAACGTAAGTTTAATAATGATTCAAATATCAATATCATTTACATTTGATATTGGTGAAATAAATTAGTTTTCTTTCTTTATAGGATTTATGAAGATACCTTGAGAGAAGCTCAACCATATATTCAAGATAGCGAGATTGATAATAAACTTGAAACAGAGTTTGCATCTTTGTTTGAAAAATATGCAAGTAATAATAGGTTTAAACTATTCTCTTTCTTCCCTAAAAATATAAACATATTCTTAATCCTAACATGCTTAATTACCTTAATGTCAATAGGCACATGATCCTTTATCAAATATTACCAGTCAAATTATTAAAGATCTTGCAAAGGGGCCGTTGCATAAGGTTAAGTCCTTAAATGGACATGTTGTCAATGGATACAAGTTTTACACAGAAAAATATGGTTCAAGTAAATCAACGATAAATAGTGGAGTATGCATCAAGGGTTGTAGCCATAGTGCACATGATATTGATTATTATGGTCGATTGATAGAAATTTTGCGGTTAGAGTACCCTGCAATACCAATCAAGCGAATTGTGTTATTTAAGTGTTCTTGGTTCGATCCTACACCAAAATATGGTACTAGAGTACATCCACAATACAATCTTGTTGATGTTAACAAAAAAAGAACCTTTAACAGAGATATTTATTATGGCTGTACAAGCTACTCAGGTGTACTATGCAACGTATCCTACTGTAAAGAAGACAATAAATGATTGGCTTGCTGTTTGCAAGATAAAGGCACCATCTGTTGTGGAGGTTGCAGAAATAACAGAACAACACATTGATTCAGCTTTTCAAGAGGATGATACTCAAGTGCATAGAATTGTTGTTGTAGATGAAACACCCCATATGCTGGCTGATCCAAATGGTTCATTCATTGACATAGATGATGTGAATGATAATGAAACTAATGAACCAGAAGGGGAGGAGGGAGCCGAGGAGGGAGAGGAGGAGGAGGTGGAACAAGAAGAAGAAGATGAAGAAGAAGAAGAAGAAGAAGAAGAAGAAGAAGAGGATAGCGACGAGGAAGAGTAACAACAAGAAGATAATGAATAAACTTGTGTCATTTGAAGTACAAAATTTGAACTTTTTGATGGGTTTGAATTTTTCAAGGCCGAACCTTATTTTGAATTATATGTTAGAACATGTGATATGGAATGAGGTATTTCATAAATATGGTCAGTCAGTTAAGTTAGTATTATTATAGAATTTTTGGTAGTTTGAAATTTTAATGATGTCCTTTACTTATATTTTGTAATTCAACCTTCTAGTGCAGCTCGTTAAGAATGAACGATTCACCATCATCAGTTCACTAATACTCCTGGTACTCCTAGTACGCCTGGTGCTGCAGATGTTTCTATTGGATCTACTCGTGGCTCATGCACATCTGGTCGGGCAATCATTTCAGTTGGGTGGAGCATACTAGAGACTTGGTATTTCTTTTGACCTTTTAGTGGAAATTATAATTATATTTAATTAGCTAAAAGCATAAAATAATTAAAATGCCAATCAATATATAACAAACATAACGTTAAATATATTATCCAAAAGTTTGAAGTTAAATATGCAAACTTCACATATTCAGCTAACAAAAGTTAGCTACATTACACTTAATCAGTTGACAAAAGTTCTATAATATTCAACAGTTAAGCATCAACTAAGTAGGACCAACAGATGGGCGGGATGATAATGCCATCTCGCTCTTCATGCTCCTCCATTGCTCCTCTATAGAACGAAATCGATCGTGACTTTGTTGCCTCATAAGTGCAGCCTCCTGCTCGACGCGTTGCTGCACCTCTTGCTCGACTCGTTGTTGCACCTCTTGCTCGATGCGATGTTGTACCTCTTCCTCTAACCGTTATTGAAGAATCCTCTCTTGAGTAGCTCATGAAATAGGCATATCAGTAGGTTTATGAATAGGTAAAAAACATCATATTTGCATAAGTTCTGTAGTAATATATCGCATCTTCATAATACAAACAAACACTATTCTGGTTTAAGGAGCTAGTGCATACATGAATTGCAATGACATGACAAAATGCAATTTTAACAAATGCAAAACCAAGTACCAGATACTTAAAAAGGAACAAGGAAAGCAAACACTTAAAAAGGACCTTCAGCAACAAACTTTCACATTAAGGATAAAAACAGCTAAACATGCCAACAGAAGACAAAAAGAGAGGCTACATAATCATATAATATTATAATTAAATCTCCTTTGACAATTCCAATCGTATTCAACTATTGCACACAGTTAAACGAGTATTTTTTGAATAGCCTTATATAAACGAGTTCATCCACTGAGGCTATTTCATTACAAGAACAAACAAATACAGAGAGGTCGACATAGCTGGTTGCATAAAAATACAGCAAAGGAGAAGATGCCACATCTTTACAGAAACTTAGCAACTACTATCTAACTCTATGAATCCAATCAACAAATATCAAACAGAAAAAAGTTACATGCTCGAATTAGTATCTCCGTGTGTGTGTGTGTGAAAGATAGAGCGAGGGAGAACACAGACATA